GTTATAAACAATTCAATACATATATATATTTTTTTCTTTTTGAGACAGAGTTTCACTCTTGCCACCCAGGCGGGGGTGTAGTGGCATAATCTCAGTTCACTGCAACCTCCGCCTCCAGAGTTCAAGTGATTCTCCTGCCTCAGCCTCCCCAGTAGCTGGAAGTACAGGCGTGCGCCACCATGCCTGGCTAATTTTTTGTATTTTTAGTAGAGACGGGGTTTCACCACATTGGCCAGGCTGGTCTCAAACTCCTGATCTTGGCCTCCCAAAGTTCTGGGATTATAGGTGTGAGCTACCACACCTGGCCCCAATTATATTCTTTAAGTTATTTAAAAATATATGATTAAGTTATTATTGACTGTAGTCACCCTATTGTGCTATCAAATAGTAGGTCTTATTCATTCTATTTATTTAAAAATGTAAAATTAAATTATTGACTCCAGTCACCCTGTTATACTATCAAATACCAGATATTATCCATTTTTTTTCTATTTTTTGTACCCATTAGCCATCCCCACTCCCCCCTCCTCCCTCCACTACCCTTTCCAGCCTCTGGTAAACATCCTTCTACTCTCTGTCTCCATGAGTTCATTATTTTGTTTTATTGATTGATTGATTGAGAGGGAGTTTTGCTCTGTTACCTAGCCTGGAGTGCAATGGCGCGATCTCAGCTCACTGCAACCTCCACCTCCTGGGTTCAACAGTTTCTCCCACCTCAGTCTCTGGAGTAGCTGGAATTACAGGCGCACGCCACCATACCAGGCTAATTTTTGTATTTTTAGTAGAAACGAGGTTTCACCATGTTGACCAGGCTGGTCTTAAACTCCTGACCTCAAGTGATCTGCCTGCCTCGGCCTCCCAAAGTGTTGGGATTACAGGCATGAGCCACCGTGCCTGGCTGAGTTTATTGTTTTAAGTTTTAAATCCCACAAATAAGTGAGAACATGCAAAGTTTGTCTTTCTGCAAGTGGCTTATTTCACTTAACATAATAACCTCCAGTTCTGTCCATGTTGTTGCAAGTGACAGGATATTATTCTTTCTTTTTATGGCAAATAGTACTCCATTGTGTATATATACCACATTTTCTTTATCCGTTCATCTGTTGATGGGTCCTTGGGTTGCTTCCACATCTTGGCTATTGTGAATAATGCTGCAATAAACATGAGAGTGCAGATATCTCTTTGATATACTGATTTCCTTTCTTTGGGGTATATACCTAGCAGGGGGATTGCTGGATCATACAGTAGCTCTAGTTGTAGTTTTTTCAGGAACCTCCAAATTGTTCTCCATGTGGGTTGTATTAATTTACATTCCCACCAATAGCGTATGAGGGTTCCCTTTTCTCCACATCCTTGCCATCATTTGCTATTACCTGTTTTTTGGATAAAAGCCCTTTTTTAAAACTTGAGGGAGATGATATCTCATTGTAGTTTTGATATTCATTTCTGTAATGATTATTGATGTTGAGCACCTTCTCGTATACTTGTTTGCCATTTGTATGTCTTTTGAGAAAATCTATTCATATCTTTTGCCCATTTTAAAATAGGATTGTTAGATGTTTTTTCTTTTGAGTTGTTTGAGCTCTTTATATTTTCTAGTTATTAATCTCTTGTCAGATGGACAGTTTACAAATATTTTCTCCTAATCTGTGGGTTATCACTTTGTTGATTGTTTCCTTTGCTGTTCAAAATCTTTTTTAACTTGATGTGATCCCATTTGTCTATTTTTGCTTTGGCTGTCTGTGCTTGTAGGGTAATACTCAAGAAATCTTAGCCCAGTTCAATGTTCAGGAGTTTCCTAAAATGTTTTCCTGTAGTAGTTTCATAGTTTGAGGTCTTAGATTTATTTAAATTTTTAATCCATTTTTATTTATGTGTATGGCGAGAGATAGGGATCTATTTTTATTCTTCTGCATATGTATATCCAGTTTGCCCAGCACTAATTATTGAAGAGACTGTGTTTTCCCCAATATATGTTCTTGACATCTTTGTTGAAAGTAAGTTCACTGTAGTATGTAGATTTGTTTTTTGGTTCTCTGTTTTGTTCCATTGGTCTATGTGTCTGCTTTTATGCCAGTACCATGCTGTTTCAGTTACTATAGCTCTGTAGTATAATTTAAAGTCAGGTAATGTGATTCCTCCAGTTTTTTTTTGTTTTGTTTTGTTTTCTTTTCTTTTTGCTCAGGATCACTTTGGTTATTCCGAGTCCTTTGTGGCTCTGTATACATTTTAGGATTGTTTTTTCTGTTTCTGTAAAGAATGTCATTGGCATTTTGATAGGGATTGCATTCAATCTGTAGATTGCTTAGGGTAGTATGGACATTTTAACAATATTGATTCTACCAATCCATAAACATGGAATATCTTTCCATTTTCTTGTGTCCTCTTCAGTTACTTTTTATCAGTGTTTTGCAGTTTGCATTGTAGAGAACTTTCACTTCTTTGGTTAATTGCTAGTTATTTATTTGTAGCTATTGTAAGTGGGATTACTTTGTAAATTTCTTTTTCAGATTGTTCACATTTGGCCTGTAGAAATGCTACTGATTGTTGTATGTTGATTTTGTATCCTGCAACCTGGCTGAATTTGTTTATCAGTTCTGATAGTTTTTTTGGTGGAGTCTTTAGGTTTTTCTGAATATAAGATCATATGTTCTGCAAACAAGGCTCATTTGACTTTTTTTCCAGTGTGGATACCTTTTATTTCCTGTCTGATTGCTCTGGCTAGGACTTCCAGTACTTTGTTGAATAAGAGTGATAAAAGTAGGCATCCTTGTCTTGTTCCAAATCTTGGCAGAAAGGCTTTCTGTTTTTCCCTGTTCTGTAAGATGCTAGCTGTGGGTCTATTGTACATGGCTTTTCTTGTGTGGAGGTATTTTCCTTCTATACTCAGTTTTTTGAGAGTTTTTATTATGAAGTAATGTTGAATTTTTATCAAATGTATTTCCAGCATCAATTGAAATGATTATATGGTTTTTATCCATTATTCTCTTGATGTAGCATGTCACATTGATTTGTGTATGTTGAGCTGTCCTTGCATACCTGGGATAAATTCCACTTGGTCATGATAAATGATTTTTTTTAATGTGTTGTTGAATTTGGTTTACTAGTATTTTGTTGAGGATTTTTACATTAGTGTTCATCTGGGAAATTGGCCTGTAGGTTTCTTTCCCTTCCCTCCCCTCCCCTTCTCTCCCCTTCCCTCCCCTCCCCTTCCCTCCCCTCCTCTCCTCTTCCCTTCCCTCCCCTCCTCTCCTCTTCCCTTCCCTCCCCTCCCCTCCCTTCCCTCTTTCTTGTTTTTTTCCTCTTTCTTTCTTTCTTTTCTTTCTTTCTTTCTTTCTTTCTTTCTTTCTTTCTTTCTTTCTTTCTTTCTTTCTTTCTTTCTTTCTTTCTTTTTGATGTATGTGTTTGGTTTTGGTATCAGAGTAGTACTAGCTTTGTAGAATGAGGTTGAAAGTATTCCTTCCTCCTCTATTCTTCTCAATAGTTGGAGTAGGATTGATATTAGTTCTTCTTTAGATGTTTGGTAAAACATCTAAAATTAAGCAGTGAAGCCATTGGTCCTGGGTTTTTCTTTGCTGGGAGACTTATTACATCTTCAGTCTCATTGCTTGTTACTGGTTTGTTCAGGTTTTGGATTTTTTCATCGTTCAATCTTGTTAGGTTGTATGTGTCTGGGAATTTATCCATTTCTTCAAGATTTTCCAACATATTGGCATATAATTGCTCATAGTAGCCTCTAATGATCCTTTGAATTTCTGTAGTATCAGTCATAATGTCTCCTTTTTCATCTCTGATTTTATTTGAATCTTCTCTCTTTTTTTCTTAGTTCAGCTAAAGATTTGTCAATTTTGTTTATTTTTCCAAAAAACCAACTTATCATTTTGTTAATCTTTTGTATTCTTCATTTCAATTTTATTTATTTCTGCTTTGATCTTTATTATTTATCTTCTACTAATTTTGGGTTTGGGTTCCTCTTTTCTAGTTCTTTAAGATGCATTGTTAGATTGTTTATTTGAAGTTTTCCTTTTTTTTAATTTAGGTGCTTATAACTATAAACTTCCCTCTTGGTACTGCTTTCACTGTATCCATATATTTTTTCATGTTAAGTTTCATTCACAAATATATTTATTCTACTGTGCTTTTTCTCTTGTCTGGATTTTTAAAAACACTATTTGACAATTGTTTTAGGTGGTGGAAAATTAATTTAGTCAGTGTAGAAAACTTAAGTATCTGTGACCTGCTTTCCTGTTAGAGGCTATGCTTAAAAATGCTTATAACAGTATCAAATTTTCCTTAGCGTTCTTTAATTTTTTCTCAAATAAGTAAATGGAGATATTTTTGCTCAAGTTGTCACCAGTTGACTGATATTGAGATAAAGGTAGTAAATTCAATTTGCTAATTCAAAAATACTGGAGATTCTTTATTCACTGTATGGTGTGTCTTACCAATTAACTTTCCCTGGCTTAGGTCTGTGGCTCACCACTTGTTTTTGTAAATAAAGTTTTGTATGTGTTTTTTTAACATAACTGCACTCATTCATTTACATATGTTCTATGACTGCTTTGACAGTCCAAGAGTAGAGTTGAGTAATTGCAACAGACAGTAGAGCTTTTACATCCTATAAGGCCATATGGCCTCTTATAGAAAAAGCTTGCAAATACATGAGCCACTGCAGATACATGAGTTATTATTGTTATCAGTTATGTGTGTGTGTTGGGGGGCAAAGGGCACTGAGTGTTTTAAGATCCTAATTTCTTTGCATTTCACCTCTCTTCAAGATCCTGTATCCCTGACTATTGAAATAACATTCTACCTAATGGAGTTTTGGTCAGCCGTCATTGTGAAACTCATCTGTAGAATAAATTTTTATTTATTACCTGATCTTAGGTACATTTGATAATGAGGCAATCATTTATATTCATATTTGGTGATGTGCGATACTCTTAGATAAATCCAAGTAGTTTGAGACATTTTTGTATCTTTTCTTATCTCATTTCTAGGTACAAGACATCTGCTTCAGCCATGACTGTCGCTGGGTTGTGGTCAGTACTCTCCGGGGTACTTCCCACGTTTTCCCCATCAACCCTTATGGTGGCCAGCCTTGTGTTCGTACACATATGTCACCACGAGTAGTGAATCGCATGAGCCGTTTCCAGAAAAGTGCTGGACTGGAAGAGATTGAACAAGAACTGACGTCTAAGCAAGGAGGTCGCTGTAGCCCTGTTCCAGGTCTATCAAGCAGCCCTTCTGGGTCACCCTTGCATGGTAATTTTCTGTCTCCACTGTTGTCTTGAATCTTCCTTCCCTTTGTCCTTATTTTTACAGATCTGGGGTAAAACTAAACTTGTTATAGTCTGTTCATGTAAAAAGAAGATCTTAGGCTTATATGAAATTCTTAATTATTAAATCATTTAATAAATTGGAGCCAATATAGTAATGATGATCTTTACCATGCTATTTTAACTCCCTGTTTCAATATATAAGGGATATTTGGTATCATATTTATGGAATATAAAACTTGGAACTATTTTTATAACTCCAGGGAACTGAACCTCCTTTTTACTTACCTCTTTCAGAACATTGTGTTCAATGGGACACTGTAGTTTATTAAGAAGTATTTATTGTTGGAAAGAAATAGTCATGGGTAATGTGTATTTTAGATAGAGCACCATTTGCTTTTTTTTTTTTTTGAAATGGTGTCTTGCACTGTAGCCTGGGCTGGAATGCAATGGCGCAATCTCGGCTAACTGCAACCTCTGCCTCCCAGATTCAAGTGATTCTCCTGCCTCAGCCTCCTGAGTAGCTGGGATTACAGGTGCCTGCCACCACGACTGGCTGATTTTCTGTATTTTTAGTAGAGATGGGGTTTCACTATGTTGGCGAGGCTGGTCTTGAACTCCTGACCTTGTGATCCGCCCACCTCGGCCTCCCAAAGTTCTGGGGTTACAGGCGTGAGCCCAGCTGCATTTTATTTTAAAATGGGATTGGTGGGATTTCTGCTAATGTGTCACAGGAAAAACAAACAAAAAATAGTGTATCTCAGTAATTTTTCTTAGAGCAAGTAGCTGTGTAACCATCATCCCAATCAATAAATGGAACATTATTGGAATCTCTCTTTTGCATACCTTCTGCATAACATTAAACCACAATTCTCATTTTTATGGTAACCACTTCTTTACTTTTTAAAATAGTTCTACTCCTAAGCAAGTGTCCTTAAACACTGTTGTTCCCATTTTATGTAAATGAAATTATAGAGTATGTATATTTTGATATCTTTGGCTTCTTTAACATATTTGTGAGATTAAGTTTTGTTGTTGCAGGTAGGTTTAGTTCATTTATTTACAGCTCTCATTTATTCCATTGTACTTCTATTTATTTATCCTTTCTACTACTGCTGATGTACATTGCATGGTTTCAGGTTTGGGGATAATATGCATACTAATTTTTGAGTGGAAATTCTTGATCATAACGTAGATGAATCTTAACCTTGATAAATAACACTGGAGTGGTTGTACCATTTCATTCTCACTAGAACAATAGAAAACGTTGGCTTTTCTGGAGCATTGCAGATTCCCCTTGATGGGTGACCATATTAGGTTTTCAAGATTGGGGAATCTTATATAGAGAGATTATGGTTACCACAGAAAGTCATTGTTATTTTATTAATTGACCTGAAATTTACATAACATAATGTTCGCCATGTAAACGTGATGGTACATTCATAATGTTGTGCCACCACAACCTCTGTTTACAAAGCATTTTCCTCACTCCAAGAGGAAACCACATATTCTTTAAGCACTTACTCTTCATTCTTCTTTCCCCTAAACCCCTAGCAAACACCACTCTCTGCTTTGTAAATTGTTAAATTTACTTGTTCTGTGTATTTTATATAAATTTAATTATAGAATATATGACCTTTTGTTTCTGCCTTCTTTCATTTAGTATAATGTTTTTGAAGTTCATCCACATTGTAGTATATATTAACACCTCATTCCTTTTTGTGGGTAAATTATATTCCATTGTAGGAATATAACACAATTGATCCATTCATCCACTGATGTACATTTGGGTTGTTTCTACCTTTTGGTTATTGTGAATAGTGCTGTTATGAATATGTGTGTTCACGTATTTGAGTACTTCTTTGTAATTCTTTTGAGTATGTACCTTTCTTAATTTGTTTCAGCTTCTATACTGACCACATTACACATTCTTTTGTAGTATCTGATGAATTCCAGATGTGTGTGTGTGTATATACACACACATACATACTGTAGGAAGCTTTAAGATAGACTGAAAAAATATAGGTAAATGTTATCCTCGGGACTTTTGTAACTCAAAAAAATGGGACCTCTCTACTCCTGAGATCATACTTTATGCTTTTGTTCTATTATTTTTAATGAGAATGATTGTTATTCATGTGTATTTAACTTAACTAGTGACCCATGATATTTAAGGTTGAAAGTTTTTAGAATCAGTCCTAGATGCAAAAGGTCATTGGGAACTAAACATTGAGTATACATGGACATAAAGATGGGAATAGTAGACGCTGGGGACTCCTGGAGGAGGAGAGTGGGAGGGGGTGAAGGCTGAAAAACTACCTGTTGGGTACTATGCTCACTACCTGTGTGACAAGATCATTTGTACACCAAACCTCAGCGACATGCCGTTTTACCCATGTAACAAACTTGCACATGTGCCCCCTAAACATAAAATAAAAATTGAAAAAACAATGCTTATATTTTAAAAAAATAGAATTTTTATAAAATAAAATTTAGAAAGCTATGAGATATTGATATTTTCAGCTATTTGTAAGACGTTTTGTTTCAGACTTAACTAGTTACATGTTTTGGTGTTAGTGTTAAAATTGTGTTCTCTATGTAGATGTGTAGTATAGGTTCTTTGGGGGCTTTTCTTTTTGTGTTAAATGTTTTTCTTAACATAAAATTTTACCAAAATCTTTTGGCAAAGCGACTCACTGTACACATGGGGCAGCTAGGTCAGTAAGAGAAACCACAGATGTATTAGTAAATTAAGAAGAATTTGTGATCCCTACATTTATATGTCTTCAGAAAATATTCCCTTGAGCTTCTTTTTTGTTCTTATTCTTGCTTCTTTATTTGGCAAACCACATAAGAGGTTTCTGTGTTAGGCTTCGAGCATAATATGCACAAAAGATTATGGTCATTCCTACCCTCATGGATCTTCTATTCCATGGGAAAAGACAGATATTAAATGACTGCGAACAAATATCTTTCAATATACTTTTGCTGAAGGTTGCAAAGTTCCAATGAAAGATTTTGTCATTTGTAAAAGGACAGTAGTTAAAGAGCAATACTAGATTTCCAAGTCAAAATATACTGTTTTCGCTGAGCTTTATTGCTTTCATGTCTCTCCTCATGTTTTTTGCAGAAATCTCAGAGAGGAGAATCTACACTGTTTGACTATGCTGCTGTACTTAAGATTTCCTTTGGAAAGCAAGGAATTTCAGACAACCTATTCCTCCTGATAGATAACACGTGTTAAAATTTTATTTCCCTCTATTTCTCTGTGTAGTTTTTCTCATTTTTGAAGCATGGACCTTACAGTGATGGTCATTTTTCTTCATGTTTTTTTGTATCTTACATGTCATAACAAAATGGGCATTGTTGTTGGTTAGTTCTAAAAATGATGTATTTACAGTTTGTGTGGGTAAACAGTCTGATGCTGGTCAAAAACAATGTAAACCATTGAACAGGGAGGGATTCATCTTGAAAATGAATCATGTTTTGGCGGTATTACCGTTGTTTGTCTGTGCTCTTTTTAGCCAAGTAAAGGAAACTGTTAAATAACAGTTGATATAGGGGTATTTCCTTTTTACTCTTTGGACCCAATCCAGTTTAGGTTAGGATTATTTTATCTATTTGCCAATTTTTTTTTAACTTTCCAGAGGATGTTTATTTATTTGAAATATATTCTTTATAAATATCTCTTCCATTTCCTATCTTGTTGCCCGAACATCCACTTTGTCTAGTTGAGGAGTTCTTGTGATCCATGAACAGGATAGGAAGAAAATTTACATCTTTATATTCACTATCCTTTAACCAAAAGTAAGCATTTCCTTTTTATTATGAACATGGAAAATACATGACAAAAATATTAACCATGCTTGTGAGACTGTTACCAATAGAAAATGCAGAGATACTCATATCACTTTATATATGAAATATATATCTTGAAGTGTCTTGCATTATTGAATATATTTTAAAATATTGTTTTTACTCATCACTACTGTGAAATTATTATGATTATATAATATTTTAGTATTAATTGATTATATACATTACTATAACTTTATTTTTAGTATATTGATACTATACTTTAATATAGTTCATCTTCTTTGTAATTATATGTCTTTTCCCCATGCCTTGTAAGTATTATTCTGGGAAATATTCCTCAGGCTTCCCCAGATGGTCCAAAGAGTTTGTGGCACAAAAATGGTTAAGAATCCTTGATCATCATTTTTTCCCTCATCTATATCAGTAATCTCTAACAAATTTTTACTATCATAAGCACTTCCTTTGTTAACCATAAATATGATCTGCCAATTTTCTGCTTAAGATCTTTGTGTCTCACCATATTCCTAGAAGGTTAGAAAATGTCCTATCTTATTTCCAGCTTCTTGTCTAACCATACCTAGATTTCTGTACCCTTCCTTGAATATGCCACATGTATTTATTTTTTGATAACTTTCCTGTTTGCAGCTTTTCTTTATTTGACACTATTATTACCTCTTTGAATGCCTACTAAGCAAGCTAAAATATTACTGCCTCTCTTAAGCCTTCTTTTGCTTTTTGTAGTCTTTGTCAACCTTGATATTGGTATGTTGTGCATACTTCTATCATATTATAATATGCAGGTTATTCATTGACATGTCTAGGCTTCCTATTAGATTGACCTCCATGAGCACAAAGTCTTTTTGGTGTTTCTATTTGTATCTTGGCAATTGATATAGATTCTAAGGCTTTATTTATTTTTTTGAGATGGGGTCTTGCTCTGTCACCCAGGCTGGAGTGCAGTGGTGCCATCTCAGCTCACTACATTCTCCGCCTCCTGGGTTCAAGCAATTCCTCTGCTCAGCCTCCTGAGTAGCTGGGATTATAGGTGCATGCCACCATGCCCAGCTAATTTTTTTCTTTTCTTTTCTTTTTTCTTTGCTTTGAGACAGAGTCTTGCTCTGTCTCCCAGGCTGGAGTGCAGTGGCACGATCTTGGCTCACTGCAACCTCC